TCATACTGAGGGGAGGATCTGAGCACCTATGGATATGTCCGGAGTGCAATGATGATAACCCAACTAACTAACTAATTGCTTGTGCTGCCATACACAACTTGCCATCTCCATCCTTGCGTGCTAACACTATCCCATGCCATGTCAAAAGACTGTCAAAAACCTTCTCGCACTATAATCCTCAACCTTTATTTCCAAACATCTTTCCAGATGTCACAATATGTTTCAGTTGCCTCTTCAGATAATCAAACCACAGGCTACTGACATCAAGAGCACAAACAAACATGTTAATGACATCATCACGTTTAATTTGATGTTGCAATTGGCATCTCTAATGACAAGAAACAAACGGACATTTGTTAGTGTAATATTAGTGTGAGATTATCAAAATATTTCACAGACCCGTTTTTTCAAATAAAACAAAAGCATTAAAATGACAAGAAACATTAACATAAACAGGACAACATAATGCTGTGCTGAAAGCTATGAGTGCTTTGAACCAGAGATTTCCAAACTGTGCACGTGTCGTCTGCAGTGTGAAGGTGGGTCGTGCTACCGAAATTTACCTAATGTGTCTGCATTTTTTGGTTAAACAAACGTTCGTCTCCCCAAACAAAGTCGGCTACGTTCCATTCTTAAGTTTGTTGGGCTGGTCTACCTTCCTGCAGGTTACGGGCGTGCCGCTCTGTTGTTTGCTTTTTGGTTTGTCTTGTGTTGACATTTTTTTCCCGAGAAAGAGAATGACTGTTACACAGGTTTCATAACTCTCTAAAGAGGTTTTGTATTAGTCCCAGTATGTCGATGTTTTTGGAGTGTTGAAATCGCCTGCGTGCTGAAATATACAAAATGCGATATCAACGGCATTGCGAGAAAATCCCGTAACCTTGTGGCACGGTAACGTGGCTCAAGGTCGGCCAACCAGAAGTGAGCTAGGCTGAAGGTCAACCAATTAGAAGTGGGCTTGTGTGTAACACTGTGTAAATGAGGAGACAAACGTTTGTTTTACCCATTTTTTATAAGAGGTTAGTAAAACTTCCGGTCTGCTGGTAGACTGCATTGCTGTGTTGCGAAATAAAAGCGTTAGTTGTGTATCCTGTACAGAACGTTGCAGAACAAATCCCATCAATTTTATCTGGTGTGGTTTTTCAAAGCAAATTTATATTCAGAAACTTGGCATTGGCACTGCACGGTCGGCTCTCAATCCTCATCATCATCAATACCACTGTAAAAACCAACGCAGGGCGAAAAATCACCTGCTGCTAGAGTCGAACCCAGCACCCTGGAATTACGAAGCGTGTTCGCAACGCCTAAGCCACAGGTGCCGTGAAATTACATTTGTCTAAAAAAGTGTCTCTAACTTGAACAATTTGGAAAGCCCTGTGTTAAAGTAAATACTATAATTTTCATGACAACAAATAACTGCAAGCAACGATAACCATGAAACACGTTACAAATCTGTGAATATCTTGGCACCCAGTAATTAAAGAGACGGTCAAGTTGAGACGGCGTAGTAATACACAAGCTGAACAGCATTAGAAGTAAGTCTACCGTACAATGCCAGTCCAACAAATGATAGGTATTTTGAGAATTTGCACCTTTCCCATGGCAACATCCTGAGCCTCAAGGACGCTGTCACAAAGACGAGAAGAAATAAAGGGTTTCGGTGGAGAGGCGGTGGGGGGCAGCCCCTTTTAATGTTACTGGAAATAGGAGGGAATAAAAGTGCCTAAAACGTTTTTAAATAGGCAATAATAATACAAAAATAAAAATGTGCTAAATACACACATACACACAAACTGAAAAAAAAATATATTTAAATTAATATGAAAGTCATAAAGAAATACTTAAAATGAAATATCTAAGTATGGTTGCTCTGAAAAAAAAGTGAGGGTGGCTGGGGAGCGGGAGAACCACAGAGCTTTCTTGTATTTTTTTCTAAGGAGAATGAGGCTAATAATCCACATTTTCAGCTTTAGCATTTATGAAAACAAAATGGTGGTGCCAGCTTTATTTGGAGAGTGATATCATTGTGCAGTGTCCGTCAGACCGTCATAAACTCAAAGAGGGGTCGGGGCACCTAAAGAAAAATGTTGGAGACCATTGCTTTAAAATAATAACCCAGACATAAAGTGGATACTCTAAACTTTAACTTTAACTTCAACTTTACCTAACTTTAACTTAACTTTCGCTTAACTTTCACTTAACTTTCACTCAACTTACATTTAACTTTCACTCAACTTTCACTTTCTAACCTTCAGACACAAATACTGATAAATAATGACGATGATGACGATGATAATGATGATGATTTCGACTAGCTATACACAGCTGAGTTGAGTTGATTCAAGAACCGACTGCACAGCACTAGAGGCCTTCAAATAAGCGCTCCATCCCCGTTTTCAGTTCCCATACCAACGGCAGAAGTAGCAGTCTGATTATATATCCGTCTTGCCTTTTCTCTGAGCATCAAGTATTCACTCCTCGAGTATCCACGTATTGAGTATGTACTACTCGAGTATGCACTCCTCGAGTATCCACTCGCCGCTCCTCGCTGCGTCACTCTCACCAGAATTGTGATGATAAGTTTGCTTCCTCGAAATGTTCACGTGCTTCCATAAGGCCTTAAGTACATCCACCTTAACACGCATCAGTATTCAACAAGTTGTGCAGAGCCATCCAATCCGTCCAACTGTTCATTTCACAACACCCCGGCATATCCCAGACAGAAACATCAAAACCATGCTCTTCACCCCTGACTTTCAAAGCTAAGCATGTCACTCTGCACGAAGCACGCCCTTGCACAGAATGTTAGCTGGTTACGGTTAGGGCGTTTAACCCTGTGCAATAAAGTCGACCCTAGGAGGCTGCGTGATCTCGAGGCATGGTGTCCACGTCGAGTGCTAGAGGTTCTGGGTTCAAACTCCGGTAAGGGTTGGGATTTTTTCATGTGGACTTGGACTTCCAGTAATTTCCTCCGAAGAAAAAAATTCCTTGGCAGTTGGAAATCGAAAAAAAGTAACCTAATGGCGATGCCCGGGCAAAATTTCGAGTTAAAAATCAACCCAAAGTATTTCAGGATCCTCGCCAGTGCTACAGAGCCTGTGCACTGTGCTGAGCACTTATGAGTTACCACCCGTGTGTCATGATGTTGATCCGTTGTTCAAACTTCAAAGTTTCCACTTAACTGTAACTCTAGATCAATGCAGCTGAGGAAGTAACAGCGAAATATGGCAGACAACTAATGATGCAATGTGCAGTCGGTACGCATTTTTTTAAACATAAATATTCACTTTAAAGTTTAAAGACAGTTATATTTTTTTTAATGAGATAATTGTAACAGATGTATACCAAATAAGAACATCAAGAATAGACAATACATCAATAAATTAGAAAACACAATGTACTAGACAGTAAATAAATTAGTTAACCTAAAATATATCATAATCATGAAAGTTATCTCTGAGATGAATCGATCTTGTTTGACTACTACGTATTGCATAACCCCAAAAATATGACTACATCCAAACACCGCGCAAACTGGCAATGTTCTCAAATGTGATAAATATACTGGCAAATGTTGTAGTACCCGGGATTTAGATTCTTAACTTGCCCGATCAAGGTGGCCAAAAGGCTAGTCTGTGTGGTTCTTGTGTTGGTTCAGATGAGTTCTAATCCCTGGTACAGCAAATGATAACGGGGGAGGGGGGGGGGGGGGGGGGACAAAGAAGTTAAACAAGCAAAGAGCTTATTTCAATGTTTATAGGGCGTCTGATATTGTTTCATAATTTTATCAGGCACTCAATGAGTGCTGTGGTCAAAATGACGACTTTTCTTCCTACGACATTTCCTGCTCCAGCTTCAAGCTTGGTCATGCTTCTTCTTTTATCATTATGACCTTCTTTGTCTTCTGCTTCTTCTTTTATAATTATCATCATCATGATCATCCTCTTTATGACCACTGTCATCATCAGCATTATCATCGTCATCATGATCATCATCATTATAATCATCATCATCAGTCATCATGACCATCATCTTCAGAATCATCATCAATGTCATTATCACTATATTCTTCTTCTTCTCATCATACTCCTTCTTCTTCTTTTTTTTCATCTGCTTCTTCTTCTTCTTCTGCTCCCTTTCCTTTTCCCCTCCTCGTTTTTCACCCTTTCAGGCACTGTTACTTTCTAAGATATTATCGTATTTGTTTATAGATAATGTCGCCCAGAAGCTAAACATTCAATGAAACTGTTCAGTTTAAGGGAATGTTCACACACGTCATGGAACAAGATGGTTTATCCCCTAGAGAGAACGGTGAAGACAAATCATTCGATGGCATGTTGTCAAATGTGGAGCACATCTCCGACTCGACCAGATGGGGGTGAAACTTGTGTCCGTACTCAGCAGAGACACTCTTGTTGTAGCCAGGCCGAAGTTTCATGGTGATCTTGGGTGAAGAAAACGTGTGAGTCGCCGAAACAGTCCGATGTATCTTAGGCCGGTTGTCATTTGGTTCTACCGTGTTGAATTTTGAATCGCCTCTAGAGACGGCAAAGTCTATGATGGCAGATGACGGCTCTCTAGGTGATGCTGACCGCCGCCCGGACGCCATAGATGTTAAACTAAATAAAGTAGAGTCGTAAATGCCTGAAAAATCTGTACATTCTGTTGTCTCTGACGTAGTAGACAGTTGCCGTTTGTGTTTCTGGACCGGGGGATTTCTGACACCAAAGGAAAGTAGGACCATATCGTTGTTGTGTGTGTCTTCTACACAGCTGATTGCTTGACGGCCATCCTGGAGTTCAATGTCTTCACGAATGGAGTCGCTAAAGAACCCACTGCCATCGCTTCCACAGCTGGGCAGACTCCCCGTATCGCTTCCGGAACCCCCGTAGGTATCACTGTAACAGCTTGAAGTCGACCCAACAGACGGTCTTCGGCGAGAATCCAAGAAATAACTACCACTCAGTTGGGAAACCAAGTGTGGAGACGCGGAGACGGGTCTAAGCCCAGACAATGCGGCACCCTGGTAGGTCATGGCTGATGGTGGAAACAAAAATGGCGTTAATGAATCTACAGTGGCTGGTTTTGGCGATGGCCAAGGTTGAACTGTTCGGCGAAAGTTGTTCAGCTAAAGTTACGTGTGTAGAAGGAAGCATCACCATTGGTGCTAGTCGCCCAGTGCTGTGTCTGCAATTGTTGATCTTATGCTGGGAACCTTTGACAACATTCGCGTTGACCTCACTCGGAGGATCGAGAGCTATAACGGACAGGTTTTTATACATATCAGTCTCATAGTCACACGATTTGCTTCTGAAGTTCTTAACAGTCTGGACCGCCAAATGTCTGACAGACACCTCATCTTGTTCTGACGGCTGCTTCTCTTGTTGCCTGTAGGTATCCTTCTTGGGAAAGGTATCTGTCTGTTGGTGACAAGTGACAGGTGTCACCATGGGTGGATCTAGCTGTATCATTGAGTCGAAAGACTGCAGGTCGGCTCTGTCTGCAAACAGAGGTAAACATAAATTAGACAAGGTAAAGAACAGTGAACCTCTCTGAACTTCTACGAACCTCTTTTTAACTACAGTTAAAGGGCAACAACAAAAAAAATACAATGGTACGGACATGTAAGAAGATCTAATGGCATCTTTAAAAACACTAGTAGGTAGCGGAGAAGATGCATGAAAGACTCGAATACAGAATGTGACTGAATGGACAGGTCTTTGATATGCAGCTAAGAAGTCCAATGCATCTGAGGTGGGGGGACCTGATCAGACGGTGACTCACCGATACGCGATGCTACAGGACGACGACGACGACGATGATGAAATAGCTGTGCATTAGTGTCTCATCATCATTATCTTCAGATAGCAGCTCGGCTTTTACAGACAAAAATGTCGTTGAGGCTCCCGGTGACATCAAACCAGCTTAACAAGATCTGAGCCAGAAACCCTACCCAGTCTCTTAGCATTTATAATCCACAATATCCAAGGTGGTTCTGAAGTATACTAGATGTAACCATCTTCCACAACTTAAAGATGCTGTAATAACAATTACCGCCACAACAGCAGCTACGACTGTACGTACATCAACAACAACAATAACAATACATAAATAATACCAGTTAGGACCAAAAGATTAATCGCAACAATAATAACTCATCCCCCCCCCCCTCCCCACTTTTGTGTGTCGTGTGGTTGCTTCTCTCAATCAACATTACGTAACTCCAGCCTGTCTAAGAACAAACATGTACACATGGGGAACAACTCCAGGAAACAATAAACAATATGTCTACCGCCAATATACAGATCGAGACGAGGCTAACAGCGTGGACAACAAACACGCTCGTATGCCAATATACATACAGACATACACATACACACACACATATGAATGAATGAATTTCTACCCCACCAGGACATCACACAAGCGATAAACACCCGATGACACAAAGTGCCACCATGCGGATGAGGATCGCCGTGGAGAGGTCCCAGAAACCGCGTTCAGACATTTGGCCATATTTATGGCCTGCCTATATTGCGGCCCCTGGCAAAAGCCAGAGTAGGGCTTCAAATGACAAAAAATTTCGTCCTGAAAAGGACGAAACTGAATAATATCTTAAACACACACACATATTTCCACACACACACACACATACACACACATGTAATACTGATAATACCGGTTACAATCTGGGTATATGTCCGTCTTGCCTTTCCTCTGAGTGTAGTGAGCCGGCCAGACCCGCTGGTTACACCTTGGTCAGTTGATGGATGACAAGCTGGGTGTTGTGAGGGTTCTTTTAGAGCGAGTCAACAGTGCAAAGGCACAAACAGATCATTACGGATAATGACGCTGCCAGGAGTTACTAGGGGATCTGGCCGACGCTCGACACTCAAGGAAAAAGCGAGAGGGGTATAGAGTCAGACAGTTACTGACGCCATCGGAATTGGAACTCTTTGCTTGCTGCTAAGATTGGGGCGAATTGCTTATGGAAGTGTCCCTTAGTGATGTGATGTCGATTCTCAATTCAACATTAAACAAAACAAACAAATGCAATTATCCGATGGCATGTTTTTATTACTTGCTCCAACGTCCGAAAACTATCAATGGCCCAGATACAAAACAACTGATAAAACCCTGAAGTAATCATGTGCCCAGTTGAACAGTTTCGTCCATTAAATTGCACACATTTTGAATTTCCAAATTACAAAACAAAATTATGAAATAAAGATAACAGTCTGAAACAAGTGCAAGAATTTCAATACTTCGGTACACACAATGGTAAATTAGACAGAGCGCTAGAAACCAGAATTTAACAAGCTAACAATGTCACATTCCCTCCTATCACTTAAACATGAACATATACTAGAGAAAAGTAACAGACTACACTGCACAGCAGAAATGGTGGGACTGAGAATAAATACAAAGAAAACTAACATCATGACAAACAGTCCAAACCAACAACCAGTGACCATAAGTAACCAATCACTTAAAAATGTAGAACATTTCACATATCTTGGCAGTATGGTGTCCCTACTGGGAGGGACAGAGAAAGACATACAGTCACGCCTGAACAAAGCTAGAGCTGCTTTTGGAAGGATGAGGCAAATCTGGAAATCCAACAATTACTGCAGAGGAACAAAACTCCGACTCTACAAGAGCATCATTTTGCTAGTTCTTCTTTATGGAGCGGAACGCTGGAGAATGACCAAAAAGGATGCACACAAGCTGTCCACCTTCCACCACACATGTCTACGTAGAATTATCAAAATGTTCTGGCCAGATACAATATCAAACACTAAATAAAATACTTCAAGCCACAAACCAAGAAACTTTAGACAGTATGATTACCAAGAGAAAATGGAAATGGCTTGGCCACGTTATGAAAATGACTTCTGATATACCTGCCAAAGCAGCTCTCACATGGACACCAGAGGGAAAGAGAAAATAGGGGCGCCCAAAAACAACATGGAGACGAACGATGGAAAGTGACCTGAGTGCGGCATCTTTAACATGGAAAACTGCACTGAAGATTGCACAGGACATGAAAGCATGGAAAGTCCTCTCTGAACCCTCATGTGCCACTAGGCATAACGAGAACTGATGAGAATGTCACATTCCGACTTGCTCCAGTTTTAAACACCCTGCTATCCCAATAGAGACAACAAGACAAATTATAAATACAATAGTTATACACACTTTAGGTTAACAATGTCAGACTTGGACAATGACAAAAGAACACGAAAGAAAAATAACCACCTGTGAGATGCGATGTTTTATTTATGGCTGTGAATAAAACCAGAAGAGATCGAATGAGAAACAACATGATCTCAAGAACTGTTGGAACAACACGCGTCGACAAATTTATTGAGAAACAAAGAATTAAATGATTTGGCCATCTAAAGAGAGTGAAACCGACGATTTAAAGGAGTCACTGACACCTTGAGCCTGCATAACATCATGGCGTATCAAGTGACTGAGCGCGGCCTGGCTCGGCTGCCGATCGTCTGAGGAACTGCGACGCCTAGTGGCACAAACAGATATTGACAACAGAAGAAACAATTAGTGTCCCTTTGACTAAGTGTGCATGTATGTGTTTTGAGTGGTACAGTTGTCCACTAGGCTAGTTTGACGTTAGTCTCCCCAAATAGAGTAGGTCCCTTTTCATTCACAAGTTTGTTGGGCTGGTCGGCTTTCCTGAAGGTTACGGGTGTGTGTGGCGCTCTGTTGTTTGGTTTTTGTGATGTTTCTGTGATTTTTTCATTCCGAGAAAGAGAATGCCTGTGACATAGGTTGCAGCACTCTCTATGGAGTTTGTGTTAGACCCAGTTTATCTGTGTTTTTAGAGTGTTAAAAGCGCTGGCGTGCTAAACCTTACAACACGCGATATCAACGGCATTGCGAAAGCCCTCTCCCCGTAACCTTGTACAAAGGCCACGGTACTCAGAAACTACCAAAAAGACGTGAGCTAGTGTGTATACGGGTGGGGTCTGGGGAGACTAACAGCAGTTTTACCCGTCTACTAACAATACGAACAAACAATACATGGGTCGACAGGCGGCTGCATCCGTTGGAAACCAACAACCAACAAGAAAATATCGCAACAAGTTAAATCAACAAGGTGTAAAATTGTAATTACACAACCTGAGAATCGCGTAAATAATGCGCCGTTTATTTTTAGAGCTCTTGTTGTAGCCCTCGCAACGCAACGCACCCCCCCCCCCCCCACCCTCTTTTTCTCCCCGCCATGAGTTTGTTGCCCTTTCTGAGCTGCTCTGGTTGTTGAAAAGTACATTTATTAATTGTCAGTGTTAATGGTTTCTTTATTTTGTTTCGTTCTAATGGTTTCTTTTATTTTGTTTCGTTTTAATGGTTTCTTTATTTTGTTTCGTTTTAATGGTTTCTTTATTTTGCTTAGTTCTTCCCTACCACGTTCCTAATTTATTTTCTTCCTTTTCTTCTTCTTCTTCTTCTTCTTCTTCTTCTTCTTCTTCTTCTTCTTCTTCTTCTTCGTCCTCCTCCTCCTCCTCCTCCTCCTCCTATTCTTGTTCTTCTTCCTATTCTGTTCTGTTCCTGGAATGCCTCACAGCTTCAAGGCAGTAAGAGATCTCTTTGAAAAAAAAAATTTTTTTTTGGCTTCCTATATAGTGCTTTGTATTGTGCATATTCTGCTGGCGTCTGCGGCTTAGGCGGTGCGAACGCGCTTCGTAATTCCGGGTTGCCGGATTCGATCCCTGCTGTGGGTTTTGCGGTGGTTTCGATAGTTGTATCGAGACGCCGACCGTTCAGAGGGCAATGACAAACTACTGGACGTTAATCTGCTTTTAAAAAGCAAAAAATGCTGGGGCTGGTTCTGCAACGTCCTGTAAAGGATTCGCAACTAACGTTATTCTACCTGCTGCCGCTGTATCTGTATAACACTGCTGTACGTGGTGCCCTGTCTTTTGCTAGTCCTGTTACATAACCACACTTATATATGAATGTAGTTAATCTACACCCCACTCCCCCACCCCTATCTTTTATTTAAATCGGAATTATGAGTGTGCTGTTAAGAAAAATTATTTTTCCTTGCCCGATATTTCTATCTGTCTATCCCGTACTGTTTTTTTTTTCTTTCAAGAATTCATTTATTTACCTATCAGACCAAAAAAAAAAATGACCATCTACATATGTCTGACTGTCTGTCTGCATGCATGCGTCCCCGTTCACAACGTTCCATCAATCCATCATTACTTCAGTCGTCATTCCATCCATCCGTCCATTTACCTATCTATCCATCTATTCATCCTTCATTACATCAGTCCTTCAATCCATCCAGCCACCAACTGATCCATCCATCCATCCATCTACCAACTGGGCCGTCCATCCATGGATCAATCCATCCATCCATTGATCCATCATTACCTCGGTGTATCCATTCTTTAACCCCACCTTCTACCCCTGTAGCATTACCAGCCGACATCAGCCCAACTATCCGCCAACCGTTCTATCTATTTTTTT